ATTAATGGTTGAGATAAGTATCTCCAAAAATAAGTAAGGGCAACTAAAATATCTGGGATATATCCTAACCTTAAAGCTGACATTAATTAGAAAATTGTCCTTTTATGTGTTCACAAACTAGAACACCACGAATTACATGCATATGACCCATCACAGAATTAAAGGTTTCATGTCAGTTTCTGACCTCAGTCTAAAGCTGAAAATTTAAGTAAGGCACATGCCCACTAATATGTTTGATCAATTTCATTGTTCCTATCCCAACTCACTGGATATGCCACAACTTGGAGATTGACTCATCCAGTGAATGGTAAGGAACTACTACTATGTATAAGAAATTATACTGAAAAACAAAGAACTAGAGTAGCAACAATAAATCACGCAAGGTAAAATCTGCCAACATGCCTCTCAGATACCACACTGTAAAAAGTAGAGGAGGGGGCGCCTGGATGGCTTAGTTGTTAAGTGTCTGCCTTTGGCTCAGGTCATGATCCTGGAGTCCTGGGATCAAGTCCCACATTGGGTTCCCTGCTCAGCAGGAAGCCTGTTTCTCACTCTCCCACTCCCCATTACTTGTGTTCCCTCTCTCACTGTGTCTCTCTCTGTCAAATAAATAGAAATAAAATCTTTAAAAAATAAAAAAAAATTTTTGATTTTTTTTTTTTTAAGTAGAGGAAACAGAACTTTCAGCTGAAAGGATCAGCAGGCTGCAGGCAGCAGGCAAATTGGTCCTTGAAGGATGGGTAGGATTTAAAGATGAGGAGAACATACTAGACAATAGGCACAGCGGGGGCAAAAGACCTAAGTAAATTGCCACCAGGCCCTTGAGATAAGAAATACAGAGTATTAATTAAATTTAGAGCAACAATTTCCAATATGAAAATACTCAAAATGGAGCTACACCTAAATGATATTTATATATCATCTCAGTTCAGCAATATGAGTTTTGCATCTGTTTTTAACATCTTAACACAAAAAAAGTTTTGTAATACAAACAAACTTAGGCGTAGTTCAGACTATTACATTTGTTTTCTAGAAGGAATTAAGTAGGATTTCAAAGATCTTTGAAAACTTGCTTTTCAGGAAACAGAAAAAGAAATGGAAAATCACTTAAGTGGCCCAGTGCAAGAGTTGCAAAGGTGCACATTTTAAGAAAAGGTGTTAACACACTGTTTTAAATTCAGCATCCAAAAATCTTAGAACATAGAGCAGATGAGAAAGTGCTATCGACACTACAGTATAAAGTAAGCTGTTGTCAAAATTTTTAAATACCAATCTATTCTACTGTTTTTCTTGAATAATATCCTGCATGACTGCTCCTATCCATGATTAACTTTCTGCCCTTTTGGAAAAGCTTTATTTTGGGATACTAATTCCCTTGAAAACAAACAAACAATAATATAATTTGGGGTTCTTAAAAATCATGTTAAGGGGCACCTCAGTGGCTTAATTGGTTGAGCATCTGCCTTTGGCTCAGATCATGATCTTGAGGTCCTGGTGTCGAGCCCCGAATCACAAGGGGCTTCCTGCTCAGCGGGGAGTTTGCTTCTCCCTCTCCCTCTGGATTCTCTCTCACTCTCTTTCAAGTAAATAAATTAAATCTTCTAAAAAATAATAAATAAATAAGAATCATGTTAAAATTTCATTCTATTTTCAGTAAATCATAGGACTATTGTAACATTCTCCTAACCAACTCAAGGGCAGAGATCAAAAAATCAATTATCAAAGCTAACCAGTGTGCTATTTCTAATATGTTTGTTTTCTCCCTCGTCTTTCTTAAAATTCATTTTTCATTGCAAGAGCTAGTTGCATATGTGACATTCTCCCTATGTGGTCTAACAGAATACTCAGAACTTTATCCTTAAATGGTACAGGCTCAATGCAGTGAAGGTCAAGTAAACCCAGATGGTAGGAGTGAGCAAGTCAGACAACCATGAAAAGACCCTTAAAGATATTTTGGAAAATTATACATGATACATTAGTGGCAAAGGTGTCCTTGTTCATTAGTCTTTTTCTTTTATTGTTTTAAATTCCACATGATTCATAGTTCTCTGAATCTAACCTGAACTTCCAATTTTTGTGACTTTGTTTGGGAGGACCACTTTCTGCATCCCCAACTCAGAACCATGGAATTCTTTTCACCCTCTGAGGTTCAGTTCAAGAGAAGCTCCAACTGCCTTGCCCTGCTCCACTTTGCATTATGAGAAGTTGTTCCCATGTGATAAACCCCTAATATAGCCTGAGTTTTACAAATCTGTATATCTTTTCCATTATTGCACCTGTGACAACATCCTATATGTAGGAGACATTCAAGAAATTTTTTTTAAAAAAGCAAATTGAACAAAACACATTTACCAAAAAATAGATCAAATGAGGTTAGAAATACGAGAGTGGTCATAAGTAACCAAGCTATTGAGAACATGTCAAGCAGATATCCAAAACAACTCTGGAACATTTTTAGCAGATTCCACAACCTTACAAAGTCCAGAGTTGGGCCTGCGTCATGGAAGCCCTGGGCTCCTGGCTGCCTCACCAATCTGTGCTGGTATCCTCACCTTCCCTGAGTAAGAAGACCTGTGCTACCCGAAGCTCCTTAAAAGCAGCACTAGACTCAGTGACCTTTTCAGGGACGCTCGCCTTCACTGCCACAGGAAGAGCAAGCACCACAGGGCTTAGGAACAGCAAATATTAGTCCCATTAGAATCCACTTACATCACCCTGGAAGGACAAGTTCCACCACAAGAGGATCCAAAGTCCCCATTTCCCCCACCTTCTCACAGAAAATAGCGAAGAGGTAGTTGTCTCTATGCTTCTCCTTTTACCTTCCTTTATGACTAAAATGTGCATAAAACCACACTGAAAACAGAAGCCCAGCATCACTATGGCAAACAGCCTCAGACTCCCTCCATACTATACCTGATAAGATTCAGCCCTGATGGTTTGTACATCTGCGTATTTTCTACCTCTTATAAGCCCAAATAAGCAACAATCCTATACTAATTAACAAAGGGATTTGTGAGATATGCCAGATTTAAAGTTGCAGAGAGAACATCCAACTACAGTATTTTCTTCCTTAAAAACTACATGGTTTCCCAGTAGGTCTTCTGCTTCTTGCTTGTTCAGCACAGAGCATTGGTAAGTGGCACTCATGGGCACGTGCACACATATACACACACGGATGGTTATTTAACCCACGTTTAAAAAATGTTGTATGCAAATGTGTATTCCAAAATAGAAATTTTGAATGTGTATTAAATGAGAAACCTTCCCGTTTTTTAAAATCCTACATTAAATTTTTAGGGAGAAAAAAATCAAACCTGCTTATCAATAACTATAGGATTCCCTTACCACATATGTTCAAATAACTTCTTAAAATCACAGGGCTTTGGGACTAGAGGTATCTTGGAGATATATTTGCCTAAACCAAGGAAGACAGTACCGTGACAATCAGCCACTCTCAAAGAAAAACAGCCAGAAAGCCATGGTCTTTGAGATGACTAAATCCAAGGGCTGAGCAACACCTATTAAAATGGCAGGATTCTAGGTGCAGAATCCTGTCTCCCAGGGACACTAAGAAACAAATGTAAATATGAACAGGAGTTCAAGTTAAGAGTAATCAAGATACCCAAAGTTTAGAATTTAAAGGCACAAGTATCTAACAAAATGAGCATATTATCTCAAGTGTTCTAAAAAATTATTTTAGTGCAGTTAACACCACACAGGACAACGCATTACCAAACCTGGACTCCCAGACTATGTAAATCACACGCCAGATGGAATATATACATTACACACCTATTCGGGACTGTAAGGATTTTCCCCGAAAGTACGGTGAAACTTAAAAATTACAAATTAAAAAAACGATCTGACTTGAGTCCCACAACTACTTCCAGACTTCAAAGAGCTATAAACCCTTTTTCAAAATTTACTTTTTCTCAATTGTCTCTGGAGTGTTACGGTTGGTGTGGATTTTCTTCGTGGCTGTTTTTAATGACTCGGTCGGCTCGCTGCCAGTTTATTAAGATCCTGGGCTAATTACCTTCTGCACTTACGACCGTGAGGAGGAGACATGCGGGGCTCCCTTCTTAGCCTGCGGAGCTTTATCAAAGACACCGGACAAGGCTAGTTACCAGAGCCTACTGCGGGCGGGGAGAGGGTGGAGGGAAGGGTAGAGATCCTTGAAAACCATCACGAATTCGATTTCCCGTCTCCCCTTTTGTCCCTCTGACATTCCGTTTGGTCACCCGACACGTCATCCATACCCCTAACAAGGTGGGCCTCGGCCCATGGAAATCCGAGCGACGCCGTTCCCCTTGCAGCTGCGGGGGCTCAGATACGGGCCCCCGGGGCGCCGCCGGGGCAGTCGGACTCGGCCGAGTCGGACTCGGCCCCGGCTGAGGGGCTTCAGCGCGGGGCACCCCGGGGCAGCCCTGACTCGGAGGCGCCCTCAGCCGGCCGAGTGCCGCCAGCTGGGGAGAGACGCCTGGTCCGACTACACTTAGGATGTTCGGCAGCCCCGGCCCACAGGGTGTGAGGAAGGGCACGGTCTAACTCTGAGGAGAACCTCTGGATCCGCGCTCCGACATCCGAGGGGGAGTCGGCCAGAACTCCCTCGCTCCCGACGCCTGCCCTTTTTCGCCCGGCGGCCGGCGGCCGGCCCCCGGCAGGGCGGCCCCATCGGGCCGCGGTGCCGTAGCCGCCTGCCCGGCCCGCCTCGCGGCGTGTGCGCGGCGCGGCTCCACCTCCGCGGGGTCTCGGGGCCGCGGGGCCGGGAAGGCCGCCGGCCGCCCCCACGCGGCCCGCGGACCCCGCAGCCCGGCCCGGCCACCGGAGGCGCCGCGTCCTCGGCGGGTGGCCGCGGGCGTCCAGTGCGCGGGCCCTGGCGCGTCCCCGAGCGCGCGCCCGGCCTCCCGCCCCCGCCAGCCGGGGCCCCGCGCGAGTTGCACTAACTTTCCGGAGCGGGGGAGGGGCGAGCGCCGCGGGCCCCGCGGCCCCGGCCTTACCTGTGCTCAAGTTGTCGTTGATTTTCAAGGGCACCCGCAGGATGTAGACCAGGAAGAGCACGATGAAGAACCACACGGTCCAGAGATAAGTCCAAGACCAAACTATGCAGGACTTGAGCTGCTCCAGAAAGCCCGTGCCCGCTTCAGCCATTTTTCAGCGCTGCTCTCTGCTGCCGCGGCTCTCGGTGTCTGCCGGGATGATTCACCGGCCCGGAGACGCCGCTCGCGCTGCCGCCGCCGCCGCCGTCGCCGCCGTGGCCCGGGCGCCCCCGAGCCTGCCCGCCGCCCGGGACGCGGGCGCGGCGGGAAATCGCGCGGGCCACGGACGCGCCTACCTTTCCTTTTCCCGGCTTATTGCTAACTCTCTGGAGGCCCCTGCATGTGGCTTTCGTGGAGGGATCACGTGGCCTCTGCCCCCTCACGTTCTGATGCCATTTATATTTATTGTGCTAGTATTTAGAAAGACAAGCCTGCTGGGTCGCTGAAGGGAACTCTTGACATGTAATGATAACTCACATATGTTGAGGGTTTACTCTATGTCAGGCACTGTTCCAAGCTCTGTATGATCTCATTTAACCCCTTCAACAATCCCCATTGTGTAGACAGGGAGACCGAGGCACAAAGCGATTGAATAGTGTACCTTAAACTTCAAGCCAAAATTCAGTTGCAGTGTGATGGATGCCACACATCCATCTATAAAGGTCTTAAACTCTCTACATTCCACTCCGTGCTTTGAGAATTCAGGCTCAAAGGGATGGATAAACCCAGGGCAACTGGGACAAGATAGATGTGCTCCTGTCACTGGTTAGTAGGCCAGAAAATAAATCACTCTGCTAAGCAAGATTTCGGTTGTACATGCTGTTTACCTTTGTTTTGTCTTCCTCAGAGCAGCACAGGGGTTTTCCAAAGAAATTTTAGCAAGAACAATGTTTATCCCCTCATTTTTGGGGGGTGATCACAGTTCAAACAACTCCCAGCCTATTTTTAATATTAAATCTCTGGGATAATTTTGGCTTAATCTGAGTGGGCTACTTTAAGCAAGATTATTACAAGTGTTTTTGTCTGGGCTGAATAAAAATGTTACCTTTACCAAGTGAAAGTTGAAAGTCTGTTTCTGGCCATAAATAATTTCACTATCTATATAGTGTAATTGAAGGTTATCCTATCTACAGCCAAGACATTTTTTTAGAATTCTGAGATTCAGCAGAATATTTTATTATAAATTTAGCTCTGCTTACTTGTAACATAATAAAACAAGCTCCTTTAACCTTTTACATGAAGGACATATTTACGGCATACATAATAGAACTCCTCTCATATTTTCACTAATTCCAGTAGAATTAAACAGCACGAGGACATGAACCATCTATTTCATGTTATGATCAAATTACCACCAGAGGGGCGCCTGGGTGGCTCAGTGGGTTAAGCCTCTGCCTTCAGCTCAGGTCATGATCCCAGGGTCATGGGATCAAGCCCCCGAGTTGGGCTCTCTGCTCAGCAGGGAGCCTACTTCCCCCTCTCTCTCTGCCTGCAGCTCTCTCTGCCTACTTGTGATCTCTCTCTCTCTGTCAAATAAATAAAATCTAAAAAAAAAAAACAAAAAAACAAACAAAACCCCACCAGCTTCTTTGCAGTAAAACTGCCCACTTAAGTTGAATGAACATCCTGGAGCCTAGCTTTTTGCTGTCAGTGAACCTTGAAGAAGGGACATAAATATAACTCAGGTGAGCCACAATTTTCTGATCATCCACTAGGCGCTCTTGGAGGGTCAGCACTGTCTTATTCATTATTGTTTCCCTCTGGTGTGCAACCGGGGGGTGGGGGGGCTGGTTGGAGTTGGAGACATGTCTTTGTTCTTGGACACAGAAGTGAGAAATCATGATCTTTTGGCAAGTGTGGCTGCTTCAGTGTGGCTGGAGGGCAGGCTCTCCGTGGGATGGTGTCAAGAGAGATAAAGCCGAAGAAGATCTGATTTTGAAGGGCCTTATAGAAACACAAAGGTGTTTACCGTTATTTGGCACTGCACACACGAATCCAAATGACCAATTTAGAGATATATGTAAGCAGGGAGTAAAGAAATATTTAAGAAGGTAAAATTGACAGGCCTTGGTGACTGATAGGATAGGCAGGATAATGATAAAAGGTAAATGTCAGCTCTTGAGTGGAACAACTCATGAAATAGTGACAAGATGTGTCTAGCCTCCTCTTGACCATCTCCCAGTGAAATGACCCACAGTTGCCCCAAGCTTATCACACCCAAAACTCACCTCCAATTGCTCTTCCTTCTAGCACTACACTTCCAGCTCCCTCATTCAGAAATCTGAGCACCATCCCATCCAGCTGGGATGGGAGTCCCTCTCACTCACCTCCTTTCCTTTCCACATTCAATTGGGCATCAAAACTTCAAGGTCCTGTCTCAGATCTGTCACTTCTCTCTATTCTCCTGCAATAGCCTTTAGTCTCTCATAACCCCGTTATGTCTCACAGAGAACAAGGTGTGGGCTCCCTGCCTCCAGTTCCTCCACCACCAGCACCAGCACCACCATCCCTCATCCCTGCTCAAAGCACCTTCTTTCATACTTCTCTGCCAGAGTTACCTTTCAAAGTACAAATCTTCTAACTCATTTCCTGCTTAAAAATCCTTCAAGGCCCTATCTACTCCATTCCTACACCACCCCAAAGGATAAAATCTAGATGGCACTCAAGGCAGTCCTACCAACTTACACAGCCCCATCTCCCATCCTAGGCACTCTTTTTTTTTTTTTTTTTAAGATTTTATTTATTTATTTGACAGAGAGAAATCACAAGTAGGCAAAGAGGCAGGCAGAGAGAGAAGGGGAAGCAGGCTCCCCACTGAGCAGAGAGCTTGATCCCAGGCCCCTGAGATCACGAGATCATGAGAGGCTTAACTCACTGAGCCACCCAGGTGCCCCCCTAGGCATTCTTCATACCACCAGCATTTTGGCGAACATGCTATCCTCATTCATGACTTTCTACCTGCTCCACAGGACCTGCCTATAGTATACTTTTCTGTGATACACTTCCCTCCAACTTTCCCTGGCACAATTGCCTGAAAACCGCTTATTTAGAGATGCACTTAAAATATCACCTCCTTTGGGGCACCCGGGTGGCTCAGTCGGTTAAGTGTCTGCCTTCAGCTCAGCTCCTGATCCCAGGGTTCTGGGATCCAGCCACGTGTCAGTCTCCCTGCTCAGCCGGGAGCCCACTTTTCCCTCTCCCTCTGTCTGCTGCTCCCCCCACCCACCGCTTGTGCTCTCTCCCTCTCTCTTTCTCTGTCAAATAAAATCTTAAAAAAAAAAAAATCACCTCCTTTGTAACACCAGCTCCCTCCTGCCTCCCAGAGTTCAGTCTCTTTCCTGAGATGCTGCACCAGGAAGCTTGTGGTAGGCTGTTAGAGCATAGGATTGGAGCCAAATGATGATGGGCTCTATACTTTTTTTTTTTTTTAAGATTTTATTTATTTGACAGAGAGAGATCACAAGTAGGCAGAGAGGCAGGAGGAGGGGGAGGGGAAAGCAAGCTCCCTGCTGAGCAGAGAGCCCAATGTGGGGCTCCATCTCAGGACTCTGGGATCATGACCTGAGCTGAAGGCAGAGGTTTAACCTACTGACTGAGCCACCCAGGCACCCCGATGGGCTATATTCTTGATCTTGCTATTCACTACCTGGGTGCTCTTTACAACTGACTGAGTTTCCCTGAGCCAGTTTTTTCACCTGTTCAATGGGTTACACTTGTATCGATTACAAGGGGTTGTTGGGAAGATTCGATGAGATGTCTACTGAAAATGCTTAGCACGACGCCTACTCAATATCTTACCTCTCTGTTAATTGAAGTCTTTAATGTTAGGTAATATGTTACTGTTGTTTATTTTAGTCCTCCTAACACAAATAGTGCTGTGTTTGGCACATGGTACATGCTCAGTAAATACTTACTGAATTTGTATAAAGGAATTAAAATCAATTCAATGAAAAGAAATTCCAAATCTTGTATTTTATAAAGAATATAAATCAGAGATTTAATTCAGGGGTAAAACTTAAGATTTGGTCTTCCATCATATGATGAGCTTATCTTGAAAGTTTGCTTCATGAGGTGTAACTACATGGGTGAGTTGTATAATAGGAGTTAAATCACCATTAACTTATGTGGATTATGTAAAAGCAGTATATTCCTAAATTCCTCATTAATTTGTTTATATGTTTGGTTAAAATGTATATATTAGTCTGGTAAAATATTTGAACTAAATAAGAAAACAAGATATTAGGGAAGACCTTTCAAAGTTCTTTAAAATTTTGGGGTGCCTGGGTGGCTCGGTGGGTTAAAGCCTCTGCCTTTGGCTCAGGTCGTGATCCCAGGGTGTTGGGATCGAGCCCTGCATCAGGCTCTCTGCTCAGCAGGGAGCCTGTTTTCCTTCCTCTCTCTCTGCCTGCTTCTCTGTCTACTTGTAATCTCTGTCAAATAAATAAATAAAATCTTTTTTTTTTTTAAGTATAAAAAAAGTTCTTTAAAATTTCTTCTGTAGTGTTTCTTTTGTAAGTGGTGTTTGGGAGTGTATATGTATATATTGGCTGTCACAGTCTTTAGTTTTATATGTTGTCATAAGTTTAAGAACCTAATTTTGTAAGTGATTTTCAGAGTTCATCTGAGATTTAAATGCAAGAAATAACTGTTCTCAGGGTGCCTGGGTTGCTCAGTCGTTAAGTGTCTGCCTTTGGCTCAGGTCATGATCCTGGGGTCCTGAGATCGAGCCCTGTATCAGGCTCCCTGCTCGGTGGGAAGCCTACTTCTCCCTCTCCCACCCACCCTGCTTATGTTCCCTCTTTCGCTGTCTCTCTCTGTCAAATAAATAAATAAAACCTTTAAAAAAAGAAAAAAAGAAAGAACTGTTCTTGATCTAACAATTCCACTTTTGGGTATTTATTTGAAGAAAATGAAAACACCAATCCAAAGATATACATGTCCCTGTATGTTCATTGCAGTATTATTTATAGTAGCCAAGCTAAGAGTCCATGGAAGCAACTTAAGGACCCATGAGCACGTGAATGGATTAAAAAGATGCGGGGTGTGTGTGTGTGTGTGTGTGTGTGTGTGGGCGCGCAATGGATAATTTTCAGCCATAAAAAAAGAATGAAATCTTGCCATTTG